GGGAAAAAATCGCTTACCTACAATGTCCAAGTATTGAAATTATCCAGTCATAGTTACCCACCATCCCTGAGCTCATAAAGCAATTTTCATAAAATTGGAAGGATACGTTGTTTAGGAAATACAGCTCCCAGCATTAGTTTTTTGCCTTCCCAGAGAATGCTAGCTGTACTAGTGAACCAGCAAAGATCATTACCCTCCTCAGTGTGGGAAAAGTCATCATTTCCAACATACAGAATTCCAGTCTAGGGCTGGGGAGATAGTTCAGTGGCATAAGCGCCTGCCTGGCAAGCACAAGGTCCTGAGTTCAATGCCTAATACCTATTAAAAAAAAAAAAAAAAAAAAAAATTCCAGTCCAGGGACCTACTAAATCCCCACACCAGGACAAAGCCCTGGGTTCAATCCCCAGACCCTCAGGAAAAGAAAGACAAAAAACAACAAAAACCCAACACACTGTTCTGCTCTGAGCTCAAAATTCAAAGTTCAAAGCTCACACTCACCTTGCCCCCTCCAGTGGTTTTGTCTTAGGTCCCCACGGCTAAAGCAATCCATCCCTGTGGTCCACATCACGCACGTCCTGTCTAGGAAAAGCACTGAGGCATATGGAATCTTTTCCTTATAGAAAGGCACTCTCCGTGGGTCCTACAACCTGAATTATATTTCCAGTAATGAATTCTCCTCTAGCTCTAACACACACGAATTATGTAACATATAATTATTTTATTTATAACTTTTCTGGCACCAGCTCAATGTGCATCTCATCAAAGAGCATTATGTGGACTTCCGCATTCTATTTTGCCACCCAAATTCAGGCAGCCACCATTCATTTATCCATGCTGACAGAGGCCTGGATAATCCGACTCTGGTAAGCGTGATGGACACCAGGGAGGCTCTTCTCACCGCCTGGCTTACTGCAGGGGCAGACAGCAGGGGAAGCCCCACAGTGGGAACCTGCACCCAACTGATGTGAGCTGGGCCACGCAGGCAAGCGGCTCCAGAGGCGGGAGCCCTGAGAGGATGGATGGCGAGCACCGCGGTTCTAACTCTGATCGATGAAGAAAGACAGCTGGATAAACTGAAAAGCCATATCTGTCTCTCCTTCCCCCATCTCAGTGTGGTTAAAGGACAGCTTTGCCCTCATCTATTATGTAGCTTTTAAACAGAAATTAACAAATAATCCTTGTAGGAACTTCCGCCAGTTTTCTTGCTGTCCCAGAGGCTCACTTGCTCTCTGGACATATCACATTTGGGTGTTTTTACTGCAAGAGCCCTGGCCCACTGGCCCTCAAGACACTGCTCCTGACAGCATGTAGGCAGCTCCAGCCCAGTGGCCGGGCTTTGCATAGACAGACGTCATTCCCTGAGAAGTGAGATCCACCGTTAACGCTGGCAACTGCCCTACACAAGGAGGGATCTTGCGGGCAGGGGCCAGCAGTCACAGGAATTCAACAATGGTTACAGCATTGCACATCACTGTCTTCAGTGTAGCAGCTCCGATTATCAGATATAGGCATGTATAACTGGTCAAAATAGAAATTTTAAGCATTAACTACTACCTTCAAACAACTGACAGAAATTAGTAGTGTAGCAATCCTGTATATATACATACATGATTTTTCCCCTTCCTTTCTCTTTCTTGCCTCCTTTCGCTCATCCCATTATTCATTCCTTTCACGTAGCCCCTTTCCCTTTTCCTGTATCCATTCTGTCAGATTTTATTTACTCTCTCAGGTTCTCATACTAGGGAAAAAATGTAATGTTGACACATGTGGATCTGATTCACTTCACTTATGAGTATGGCCTCTAGTTGTATCTATTTACCTATAAAAGCCTCAAGTTTATCTTTCTTAATAGCTGATGAATACTCGATTGTATAAGAATACTGCATCTTCTCACCATTGCTCATACCACTGATGGGTATTTGGGTTGTTTCCAAGATTTTCCAAGCTGACAAACTGTGCCGCTATAAACATGGGCTCACATATATTGCTGTGCTATGCTGTCTTCAATTCTTCTGGAAAAATACCCAGAAAAGAAATAGCTGGATCAAATCAGACTTCTAATCCTAGTTTTTTTAGGAGTCAACAACCAAAAATCAATAGCATTCCTCTACACAATCAACAAACTCACTGAGAGACAAATTAGGGAAACAACACTCTTTCCAATGGCATGCAAAAAAGAAAGAAAGTAGTATTTAGAAATTAATCTAACAAAGAAAGTGAAAGATCTATACAATGAAAATTACAATATTCTGAAAAAAACAGAAGAGAATTTCAAGAGATGGAAAAACATCCCTTGCTTATACATATGGAGAATCAACACTCTGAAAATACCCAGAGTCCCAAAATTCTTATACAGATTTAAAACAAGTCTAATTAAAATATCACTAACATACTGCACAGATAGGGAAAACATTCCTAAAATTCATTTGGGACCAGAAAAGACCTAGAAGAGTAAAGGCAATCCTGGTTAACAAAGAAAAGGTAGGAGGCATCACAATCCCTGACTTAAAATGATACTACAAAGATACTATGATAAAATCAGCATGATACTGGCAATAAAAGAGATCTGAGGGTCAATGGAACACATTAGAAGATGCTGATATAACTACAAACACATTCAGCCCCCTTATCTTTGATAAAGGGGCCAAAAGTATTCACTGAAAAAAGATAGCCTCTATAACAAATGGTCCTAGAAAAACTGCTTTCCACATGCCAAAAACTAGAACTAGATGCAGGTGTACCAACATGCACTAAACTAAAGTCAAAATGGATTAAAAATCTAAACATTAAAACAGAAATACTAAATCTGCTGGGAGAGAAAGTAGGTAGATTTCTTAAATACATAGAGGTAAGCAGAGAGCTCATACACAAAAACCGAACTTTATGGAAATACTTCAAAGAATCAACAACTAAGATCTCATCTTATTGAAGTTTCTACGCATCAAAAGAAATCACCAACAGAGTAAAAAGAAAACCTATGAATTGGGAAAAATCTTAACCAACAGTCACCCTGAGAAAGGACTTCTTTGTAGAACATATAAGCAAGTGTTTGACCCCTGAGCCATAGGCCTGGGCTTCCGCCTCAAGAGTGACCCAGCCACTGGACTCAGGGCTGCAACTTTCCACCCAGGCCATCAGGTCAGAGCTCGAAAGATCTGAATTTCAGAAGATTCTAGATTCCAGATTTTCACATTAGGGATATCCAACCTAAACTCAGAGTTGTTCAACAGTGTCTTGGTTTAAAATCTACAATTATATCGTAAGGAGAGTTAGAACAATTGACTGTCTAACAAGGCATCCTCATGGATCTCCACAAACACATCAGGTGCACACTCCCTCAGCCCCTCCCCCAGGAGAACGTTCACACACAGGCTGAATGTCCTGAAAGTGACATGCATGACCTCATATGGAAAGTCACAGCTGAAACACAGCACACTGAAAACACAGTCTACAGTCACTTTAGGGTGAGATGGGACAGAAAAAGACAATGAATGTTGAAATTTTAAAAATGTACTTGAAGAAAATACATTGCCCATAATCCCCTTCAAACTTCTTCCCCTCCTTTCCAAAGCACTTTCCAATATCCTTCACAAGGAAGCCTTCAGAAGGTCCACTTCCATGAGTTTCTGGAGCTGAGTCGTGGCTTCTTCAGTGTGCTGAACTGATCCAAAATGTTAGCCTTCCTGGTCCTTTTGACTTTGAGGAAGAGCTAGAAGCACATGCTGCCATATCCAAGGAATAAGGTGGACACAATGAGGTGTTTACCAGCCCGCCTTTCTGCTGGCCATCACTCAGCAGCAGCATTCATCACATTTTTGATCAATGCCTCATAAAGACACTCAGGAAGAGGACCCAGAACTGCCTCAGAAAGTGGCCAGAACAACGGCGTGAGTGTGCCTACATGGTGGGGGAAGATGTGGAAAGAGATGAACGGCAGTGAATCTGTTACTGCAATATATTTTTAAATGTAAATAGTAACCGTGTATTTTAACCACACTTCACCTAAGATACATGTCAAACACAAGTTAATTTCTTACCAACTTCTGAATCATGCATATGTGAATATTCCAAAGTTTAGAAAATCAAAATCCTAGACACTTTCTTTCTCAGCATTTATATTCATATATCACACATGAAACTCCTTTTATGCTACGTCACCTAGCTAACCCACCACAGTTTTGGAATACACAAGGGTCCACTGCCTCGATAGCATGAGATGGGAGGACACTGAGACGGTTGTGGTCTATTACTTACACTGAAGTGGAAGTGGTGAGACCCTAGAGAAATTACATCTAATTTTTAATAAATCTTACAGATTACACATGCAGAATGCTCTTCCCCAAGAAAAAATGATCTGCTTAAAATGCTATACAAATCTTGATATTATATATTCCTGCCATTTTCAAAAAACATTTTGGAGCAATTTTCACAGCCAGTTTAGCTATCATAAAGAAAACCGCCTTGTATAGTATCTCCCTTTCTGGCAGGTGAACAGTCATCATCAATTGCAATGAGGCTCTCTGGTTTCCAGACATGGATACATGCTCTTTATAATTTTTTTTAAAATGACATTAAAAATAAATAAAAGAGACAAAGGCAGGAGGATAGTCTGAGGATACATCTCTGGATATTTTGAAGACAACAATACTTGAACCCACTACTGCACATGAAATTCTATAATGTACCATGAAGGAGGAAACGTTGTAGCCATCAGCACACAGCACCCAACGTGTACCCTGGGAGACAGCAGACACAACTCAGGTGCTCACAGGCTGAGAACAGAGTGCAAACTGCATGTGTGGTGGGCAAGCCTCCCCAAGTGCAATGTGTGGCATTCGTGCTCATGCCAAAAAGCAGCACCAGGACTCTCGCAGATGCCCTGCAAGGTCCCCAGGACAAATGGTACCCTGTCTATAATAGAGTTGCACCATCTTGCAGAATTAGAACAGCATTCAAAGAAAGCAAAGTAGGAATAAGTTTCTTTGATGGATTTTACTCACATCAACGAGCTGGGTGACTCCACTTGCTGTTTTGGCCAGCGTGACAAGGTCTTCTTGCATCTTATCCACCCATGACTTGATACTGAAGAAATGAGAGAGAAGAATATTCTATCAGTCCTGTAGTTAATAAAGGCCACACTCTGGTAATTCATAGATATGCTTAGACCATGCACTAAATGGTTTTGACACATTCTTTTCTCTCTTAACTCCACAAGTCCCACCTTTCCATTCCACCTTCAGATTGCAAAGTAACTGAAATGTTTAGGGTCCTGAAATTTCCCCTAATCAAAAAGGCAAAAATAAATGTCCACACTTGTAATCCCAGCACTCAGGAGGCTGAGGCAGGAGGACTGTCATAGTTCCATAGTTTGAGTCCAGTTTAGGCCACAGAAGCAAGTTAAAGACCAGGCTGCATTACACAGTGAGACCCTGTCTCAAAATAAACAACGACAAAAACACAAAAATAACAGCTACCTTTTGCAACATATTGAAAAAATTCATAGTTTTTTAAAATTCTATAAAAATAAAAATGCAACAGTAATCCCACCACCCAATAATAACTGCTCTAAACTCCTAGTCATATTCCCCTCTGGTCTTTTACAATTCTTAACTTTAGTTAAGAGCATGCTATCTACAATGCACGTATCTTTTGTCTTTCTGTCACATGTCTGTCACACACTGTCACAGTACGTCACAAACATTCCCACTACTGAGCATGCCAGAACTCTATATCCCACAACCCACTGGCCCTTTGTCCTCTTTTCAAAGACATCAGCTTTTAACAACTGCAAATGATACTGCAGTGAACGTCTTCGTCCACAGGCCTGACAGCGTCGGTTTCCCCAGCAAGGCTCTTAACTTTGGAATTACTGGATCAAAGCTTAAATTTTCAAGCTATGGTTTTGGTCATGAAAATGATGACGGAAGGATTTAAGTGTGCGTCCTTTTCAGGCGTATTCTGCAGATCAGTGCCACGAGCT